TTACTAGACATTTTGGTTCTTCTTCGCCCTTGTAATTTTCATTTTTGAAAAAATACGTTTCTATTGCAGTGAAATATAGAATGTATGTCTTCTTCCTTTTTTTTTTTTTTTTTTTGAGTTAAATTTTTAAGTGCCCAGAACAATGCCTGGCAAATAAGTGCTAAAAAAGTATTCATTTTAAAAGTGGGGGGGGCGGAAAGCCTCTCATGTCACTTGAGGGTGGGGAAAGTGGTTGTGTAAATTAATTATACTTCAGTTCAGGCCTTGATCCCGGGGTCCTGGGATGCAGCCCTGCATCGGGGTCCCTGCTGGGCAGGAAGCCTGCTTCTCCCTCTCCCACCCCCCTGCTTGTGTTCCCTCTCTCGCTGTGTCTCTCTCTGTCAAATAAATAAATAAAATCTTTAAAAAAAAAAAAAAGAGGCAAGGGAAGAGGCTACCTCAACAGCCTGAATGCTGTCCAGCTTTTAGTGCGTGCAAGTAAAGTTGGAGTTTGAGAAGGTGATCTCCTGAGACGCCCACCCCAAAACCACGAGGGAAGCTGGCTATAGAATTCCCCACCCAAATACCCATCACAAAACTAGCACATGGCTAAAAACAACATTCAGGCTAGAATTAACAACAACACAAGAAACAACATGTTGGCAAGGATGTGGAGAAAGGGGAACCCTCTTGCACAGTTGATGGGAATGCAAACTGGTGCAGCCACTCTGGAGAACAGTATGGAGGTTCCTAAAAAGTTAAAAATAGAACTACCCTATGATCCAGCAATTGCACTACTAGGTATTTACCCACAGGATACAAAAATACAGATTCGAAGGGGTACGTGTACCCTGATGTTTATAGCAGCATTATCAACAATAGCCAAACTATGGGGAAAGCCCAAGTGTCCATCAACTGATGAATGGATAAAGAAGATGTGGTGTGTGTGTGTGTGTGTGTGTGTGTGTGTGTATATATATATATATATATATATATATACATATAAAATTTATATATTACATAAATATATTTTATATATCTTATGGAATATCACTCAGCCATCAAAAAGAATGACATTTTGCCATTGGCAACAACATGGATGGAACTAGAGTATTATGCTAAGTGAAATAAATCAGTCAGAGAGAGACAAATACAATACGATCTCACTCATATGTGGAATTTAAGAAAGAAAGGAGATGAATATATGGAAAGGGGGAAAAGAAAAAAGGGAGAGAGGGAAACAAACCGTAAGAGACTCTCAACGATGGAGAACAGGCTGAGGGTTGAGGGAGGGAGGTGGTTGGGGGATGGGCTAGATGGGGGATGGGTATTAAGGAGGGCACTTGTAATGAGCACTGGGTGTTGTATGTAAGTTATAAATCACTGAATTCTACTTCAGAAACCAATATTGCACTGTATATTAACTAAAATTTAAATTAAAAAAATAAAAAACAAAAGCAAGATTCAAAGACACTTTTTTAAAAATATTTTAAATATGTTTTTAAAATATGTATTTCTACAACTGCAATTGTCCTTTTTCTCAAAGTTGCTTGCCTGATTATTTTAATTTATAAAGTTTATTTATACTCTTTCTCAACCCACAAGGACTCAAAAGTAATTCAGAAAAAAATGTATAGCATAAAAATGTTTTTTAAATTAAAAAAATCAGGACCAGAGGAAATATAAACTAGAACTGAAAGTCTAGTCTGGAGGGAAGTAAAATATGTTCATCACAGTGTTCTAAAAAGTTCTCAAAGTTAAGCAGTAAACTTGGCTTTCTGTTAACCGAGCAGTCAAAGCGAAAAGAGAAACAGAACCAGTTACATGATTCTCCTGTCCACACAGAGAAAATATTTCAGTTCCTTAGGGGAAGCAAATGATTTCCTGGAATTCAGATCTGCAAGAATGTCCTCCCATGGGGCTTCATATAGGAGATCATGAGTACTACGTAAAGGAGAACATCTAAAACCACACCCCTACCATGGGGCTTCCTAAAGCTGTCCTTGGTAAATGTCTGTAGGAAAATCAAGGACACATACTTCAGTTAAAACCATTCTCTCAGAAATGAAGACAATATAAACCAATAGGAACTAGCATACACCTTTCTTACAGTTCAGTTTAATCTAAGAAGCCAACCTTGACTATCTTGAGGCATGAACGAACTTATAATCCTTCAGTTTTTTCACAAATGCCACATTTACCAGGAGAGCTAAATGTAGAACTCAAAACAGAGGAAATTTACTAGACATTTTGGTTCTTCTTCGCCCTTGTAATTTTCATTTTTGAAAAAATACGTTTCTATTGCAGTGAAATATAGAATGTATGTCTTCTTCTTTTTTTTTTTTTTTTTGAGTTAAATTTTTAAGTGCCCAGAACAATGCCTGGCAAATAAGTGCTAAAAAAGTATTCATTTTAAAAGTGGGGGGGGGCGGAAAGCCTCTCATGTCACTTGAGGGTGGGGAAAGTGGTTGTGTAAATTAATTATACATAAATAAAATGAGCTGACTGAGATTTTATACCTCTCTTGCATCCACCAATTATGATGATTCTTCCAAAAGCAGCACAGACTCAGTGCAAGCCCTTGACTGTTTTAATGTGAGAATGTGACATGAAAAATCTGGTAGAGGGGGATTATTATAATTTCACGGAGAGGGGAATTCGAAGGTTTTGAAATATCAGAGCCTTTAAAATATCTTCTCCGATGGAACAGCTGGACCTTCAGAATCCATTACAACCTAGCCAGCCCTTCCTTTCAACCCACTTCCACATTTTAAGTCTCTGTTCATGGAATGTGTCTAATTTGTTGTTTGGTACATTGTGGGCATTCAATAATGCTCTATCGTAACAATGGAAAAAATGCTAAAGAGCTTCATTATCACATTTACTTGTGACCCCGTTTCCTTTCCTTAATCTTGCAAAGTGATTTTTAAAATGCAAGCATAACATTACGCGAAACTGAATATATTCTGGAGGCATGCATAAAGTGGATTTTCTACATTTGTAAGAACAAATAATCCACACGTATATTTAAACCATTTGTCTCAACAATAACAGATGTTCAATAATACAAATGGGAAGTAACTCAAACTGGTGGAGGTCTACCGGGAAGATTATGGAAATCGTACAGTGAGAACCTGGGACAAAATCAGATGAAACCCCCTCTCCTACTGCTACAATTATTCTTTGACTCTTGTCTTCTGCATGCAACACCCATGTAAGGCTACCTACTAAATATTTAGCAAAGTAAAACAACTAGTTTTGAACACAAAGAGTCTGTGAGTTATCCAACTCAAGGTTCAAGAATCAGGTGTTTTGTTTTTGGGGGGTTTTTTTGCTTGAATTTCCTATTTCAGATGTCTGTTTCTGCCACGATAGATTCTACCACAATCAGGGATTCATCCTTTAAAAAAAAAAAAAAATTAGACAAATACTTGCAAATGGATAAAATGCTGTTTTAGGGCCACATCCACACAATCTGCAGTGCCAACAAAGTTCCCACACAGAAGACTCTCACGGGGGTTAGGGGAGGCACCTGCCAAGGAGTCCATTCAAGCAAACCTACCCGCTTGCTGCTCTCCTCCTCCTGAGCCTTCCTGAACTCATGCTCAAGGGAGCAGTCCAGCTCATTGAAGAGCCCCACTTCCTCACAGTTCTTCAGGAATCTCGTTGGGGTCGGAGTCTGATCTGAAAACAGAGACCGAGTGGTCATACATGGGTTCTTTTCCTCAAAAGCCAGGGGCAAGCATGAGCTCAATTCACGAATCCCCTCCCCTCGCCTTGATTAAGATGCGAACTGGTCATCCATAATCTTCCAGCCTTTTAAGTAAGATGACAATATGAAAGAAAATAAAACCACAAATCTCACAGGAGGACTACAATGTATAGCAGGCTGCGTATGTGAGGGTTTTCTAAACTTCCCCCATCAACTTTGTGGGGTCCCCATCACTTAAATACACATCGCAATGTGTGGAATGACTTTTTTTTTTTCTAAACAGGAAAAAAGAATAATTTAGCTAAAATCAGGCCAAAAAAAATCTGCTGAGCCAATGTTAAGCTTGATTTCAGGGGGCTGGGAGGAAAAAAAAGGTTTTGTAAAAGTTTATATCAAACAAAAAGAAACAAACAAGCACATTAATTCCTTTCTCTTAATGGAAAAGGAAAATACAGCAATTCTCTCTCTCATTTTGAGAGTCACAGAGGATGATGAAAGTTTCCAAGTCAAACACATTCAGCTTTCATCCATTAAAAATATAATTATTAATTTTATTTTCCTTTGCTATAGCCAAAGGAATGTTCTGAGAAAACTCTTTAAAAGGAATAGAATTTTTTTCATATTGTTGACTGTCTAGCAAGCATACTACTTAGGAAACTTGAGGATCTGAAGCCACTATTTGTGGCTTAATATTTATGTAGCCTTTGCGGTTTACACAATGGTTTCACACACATTCTCTATAATCTAGATCTCACAAAAGCCTAGAAGGTAAATAGGGTAGAATTACACTTTTGTAACCACTAAGGACAGTCATCTTCTCTGGTAAAGATGTCCTGGAGTTGACATGAATAAAACTGTACACTGTCCCTTTCTCAGAAACAGAAGATGGCCATGCTAATTATTTTGTAAATGAGGAAAATGAAAGTCCCGGGTGATTCAGAGTCTTGTTCAAGGTCTCCCAGGTAGATGTGATGACATCAGGATTTTGACCAAGGCCCTGCTACCATTTCCAATATGCACATGTATTGTCCCACCTAAGCCGACAACACACACACTGCTAGAATGATGATGGCACTTGTCTGTCTTGACCCACACTCAGTCCCTACCTCAGTCCAAATCTCTTTCTGTTTAGTTCTCGAATGCCTCACCGCCAAGCAACTGAAGAGTGCCCTCAAGTTGAAATGAATGTGCCATTTCTGCACACTCTTTATAAATTCCTGTATGACAAGAAACTAGAATCGTATTTACTTTCCTAATTCATACAGAGAGCAGTAAATCATCCACTGAGATTCAAAGAAATAGCTTAATATTCATGAAGCTGAAAACAGCTTGATATCCCCATAGATTCAGCCCTTCTAGGGCAAGGTCTCCTGATGCCCTATGGCAAGGGGCTTTTCTACCTGTTAAGCACCCAGCTGGTTGACTTGGATTCAAGGCAGCAAAAATCCCCTTCTGCATTCTTTCCCATTTTTAGCCCAACCTCCAAGATACTGAGCTCTCTTTTGAAGTATACAGAAAGCCTACTGCAGATGGTCATAAATGGACATTACAGATAAAAGCCATGCAAAAGTTGGGTTTGATTGAAAATGGTTTTATTAGCACATTAATTTATTAAGATTCACACATATACACCTATGTCCCGATACACATATAACACGTATATGTATATATACACATATACGTATATAGTGTGTTAGATGCTTATAAAAGAAAAATTAGTATTTATGAGCATTTTGCAGCTTACGAACAGTTTCACCTACACTGTCTAGATTCTAGATCTCACAAGATCCTACAAGGCAAGTAGGTGCACATTATTTTAGAAATGGAGAGGAAAGTACCTTGCATAAGGTCACAATGTGCAAACATTTTATCACTATTAAGTCCTCTTTTATGTTCAAACATAACCCCTTCTCAATCTAAATCCTGTGCTTTGCCCAGACTCTCCTCTGGGTCTGAAGGACCCTTACGTATATAAAAGACAATGCTGACAGCCCAGAAATCTAGACTTGAGAACTGTGTGATTTGGAGGAAATTACCTACATTCTCTGGACCTCATATTCCTCATCTTTCAAATAAAATTCTAAAGTTACATGGTTCTGTGAATCCTAAAATCACCACCATAATGGGTTCTCTTCAAAAGTCACTGTCAGTAGGTCAAAGAAACATGACCATTTAAAGGACAGCTTAATGGCAACATCTGGAAGAGCTGGCTAGACACTGGAAATTAGGCCAGAAGTAAAGGCCAGATAGACAGATAAAGAAGTTTCCTGAACAGAAGGTGTAAATAGACAAGACCTGACAGTGGAAATAAAGGTGTGTGTATGTGTGTGTGTACATATTCTTCCATTTATTGGATGCTTATTGTCAGAGATAGTGCTAAGTGCTTTGTATGATGCGCCATCTCATTAATTTTTACACCAACCTTTGGTAAAAAAAAAAATCATTTCCCCCTTCTACTTATGAGGAAACTAAAACTCGCCCCAGGCCCTATTTAGAAACTGAGTCACATAATTGTATCGGTAACTGACAATCCTAACCATCCCTGGTTCTTTTAAAGTATCTTGGAATCACTAGATCCCTCCTATAATAGAACCATGTTACAATCCTACAGACCTTCTACTATCTCGCAGGCCATCTTGTGAATAAAAAACCTGAGAAAACAACACAGGACGGAACTTAAATATTAGATCATTCATCATCAATAGGAATTTAGTTTGCCAGGTTTTAATTTTTCTTTTGTTCCTCTGTATTTCTCTATTGGAGATTTACAAGTTGAGGACCATGATTCCAGGTAGAGAGAACAGTCATCCTAGCAGGATCCATATGACTCCTGAACTCTGAGATGAGTTCATGAGATGGGCCATCAAACTGAATTCAGACTGGCATTTGGAGGCCAAGCCCCAAGAAAGTTGAGAAATGTCTTCTGTCTTCCCTCAGCAAAATTATCCCTGGATTCCAGCATGCGCACATATACACACATACGTCAGCAAAGGAGGTGGAAGGAACATGGCATACGGATAGTACAGGCAACTTCCACCACCATGAGCCTCTCTGCAGCAACAGGGAAACAAAAGGTATGAAGCAAGGGGAGCCATGGGTCCTAAAGAGAGTTGGTTCCCTCCTATCTCTAGAGCAGAAGACCCAGATGGAGGACGTCACAGCGTTGTTATGAAAGGTGACTTTCTTTGCTGTGTGATATAATGAGGGAAAAGCAAAACCGATATCTATATCCACATTTGGAAGAGATAAGGCATGCTGTTCCTAATTTTTAATTCATTTTCTTCTTGTGAATGAGCTATTCTTTCCAGTTACAACAGGAACCAGAAAATGGAGCTTAACTTTTATTTTAACATTTATAGAATTAATACAAGGTCTCTAGCTGTCTTTGATCCCACATGGTACCAGTTCCAAGTAAGCCAGGAAATGTGCAAATCTTCAAAAAGGGGACAGCTAAATCTATCAGCAGCTTAAATAAAAGAGTCAGTTTCTCAGCCACACGAATGCTTTGTCAAATAAGTATTCCAGCTGAAATTAGATCTGAAGTAGGTGAGTAATATCCATGGTCATAAATTAAAGTTCTGATAAACCACACCTTCTTTAGAACCAAGGGCATGCACCAGCTACGGCAGCAGCAATTTCTATGTCATGAGTAACAGTGGCTGGTGCTCCGTTGGTGGATAATATCTAAGGTGTGTTCAGGAGTAACAGGCCACACTTGAAGGACTTCCAGGAACTGGCTCCAGTGGGAACTCAGAGCCGACATGCTCGCTGGAGGACTTCTGCTCACCTTTCTTTCAGTGTTTCCACTTGAGTGAGGACCATCTGAATGCGAGAAAGAAATAACCCCAAATCTCAAACTAAACTCAAAGTTAATAACGTTTGAGTTTGGGCTTTACTTGAGTTGAAAGTACTTTGTTGTTATTACCTTTGCAAATCTGAATTGTCCCTGCATAAACGCCCGCAGGCTGCTTTCTCCCAGGGAGTTTGCAAGAGCACAACAGCTTCTCAGGACACCCAGACAGCTGGGACCCGTGCAAGTAAGGCATCCTAGCCACTTTTACCTGTCTGTATTATATGTCCTTAGGATTTCTTTAACACTTGGACAAGACTGGCACCAAAAGGGATTAAAAAAAATCCCTTGTAAAATTTGTCATATTTCAATATCTGGCTCCCTTCCTGGAATGGTGAGTCTGTGCCTTGAAAAAAGGAGTAACTTTTCATGGAATTGCTGCTTCTGTAAATAGCTAGGTAGACGATTCTTGCCATGCAGAGACCCTACTTGTATATCTACCTGAGAGTGCCACAAGCTTGACGTTATGGTTTAGAAATTCACCCCTCAGCTATGTGACCGGAAATCCTGCACCCCACTACATCTGGGAAGGACCACAAGTATATGGCTACAACTGTTAGAGGAAAAAAAAGAAACTCACTACAGTCCATAGTCTGCCTAGCATCAAGTGCTTCAGCCCCCGCAAGTATGATTATTCCAAAGTCTAAATGACAAGCACAAAGCTAAAGCCTGAAACCTGATTCTTCTTTTAAAAAGTGTTTAGTCTGCTCTACGTTTAATAATAGGTTGCTACCTTATTCGGTTTCAGAGCTGCATTTGAGCTACATGTTTGTCTATGTTTCATTTTCCTCGATGATAAAAAGGCAAGGCGACAAGTCATCAATTAAAAAAAAAAAGTAAAAGCAGAGTTCCCATAATATACCAGAGAAGAAGAATGCAACTTCCAAAGTAAAATCTTCTTTCCAGTTGGTCTAATGTTCTCAATGGTATCGCTAAAGGAATAGGAGAAGTAATTTTACATCATTTTGTATTAAATTGACAGTGACTGGGAATACTATAAAAGCCCCACTAATTCATACCAGTTATAAGAAAGATCAGTTTGAATTGGTGACCATTCTAATTATACGGTATTTTTTTTAAAGGTAATGCATGTTTATTATTTGCATGACTCAGATTCAACCA